TACTCTCCTTCAATTTCTTCATTTGCTGGGTTTCACTGTAGATCATGTTATCCAACCCTTGGCCGCCCAGCTGACTGTTTCTACAGAGCATACATGTGGAAGCAAAATGACAAAAACAACCACACACAATACGTCAGTGGTAGACACATAGGGGAAGGCAGAGAGCTCAGAGTTCAGCTTATCACATCTATAAAATGAGCTGCAACCCACAGCAGCCAATATGTAAATTTCAGTGGTTTAGTCCCTCTGAGGTTAGTAAACCCTTACCCAGTTGCTGTTTTCTCTTTCATGTGAAGTAAAATGGCTGTAGCTAAACATCCTTCTGAAAACAAGAGACACGTCTGCGTTTTCCAGACTGGGACCAGAGTTTTGGGTCATGCTGATGGCCTGCACACGTACACATGGCAGGAGAGGACTGGACATGTGCCCACACGCCTTTCTCCAGGGACAAGCAGAAACAGGCACCTCATCCTCAAGTGGCATCCTTTGTCTCCCCTCCTTCTTGGCCAAGGGGACCAGACTGCCTTTTATGATGTGAATTTACTATCCAAAGACAAGTCCAACTGGAACAAGAAGAATTGCCTATCTAGGACTCTATTATGACTGATAAACTAAAAAGGAAATACTGAACAGGAGGCTTCAAGGTGGATATTCTGGTGCCAGGTAGGGAAGCCAACACCCCTCAAACATTGCAGAGAACAAAATTGTTTGTTTCTGACATGTTGTGTGCTCTAATATGTTGTTACTAATATGAAAAAAGCTTCCTTAAAAGACTGTTTAATAGTGGCAAAATTATTTAATAATGGCAAAAAAAGCATGTTTCTGGAATTTTATCTAAGGAATATCACTGACATAACTTGTGAATTGTGTTTAGGATAATTTATAGATGTGTTTTTATGCTTACTGGCTCCCCTCTTCCTATCCATCTCCGTTTCTCTTCACAAACAGGTTAAATATTATTCTGAGAATTTATTTGGCTTTCCTGAGGGTGAAATTGGAGGCAACATTAAAAATGAATCTATTGGACCGCTTCTCTCAGAATTCTATTCCCACTTAATTCTAATCCCACTCTGATGCATTAAGTCTGGGAACCACCCAGCTTGTCTTACAGATATTTAGCCTTTCCTCCATGGATTAACTAATTCCCAGCATGGGCACTATAGAAGCATAGATCCCAGCAAAGCCTCATAAATTCACCTGAGACATCCTTTGCCTACAATAAGTCCCATATTAAATATTTCAACAACTTTCTCAGCAATGCATGTTTACTAGAATAAAGAGCCAGCCCCGTCAGCTACCACTGTGTGGCCAAACACAGCTTCACAACGATTATCTGCTGCTGCAGTCATTTTTCTGTTCCAACTAAATTTTGCTTACTCAGAGCTGTGTCTGCTGTGGTGCCAGCTCATCTAGTCTGCTCCCATGTCACAGTCCCCAATTCTGAATTGGGGAAAAAAATATCTCCTACACAGAACCAGAGAGGCTTTTACCAGAGACAGTTTTTAAAAACATTAATAGAGAAAAAGAAAAAATGCAATCTAAAAATGTACATTTTTTCCTCAGTGGCATAATCTCTGTTTCTGGTAACTATAAAATGAATGTAGGAAATTAACTATTATCAAATGAGTGAATGTAACAGTCAAAGAATATGCAATACAAAGGCTTATATACAATAGTCAGGAGAATATAATATGTCAATAGTTCTCCTAAGCAGACCCAGGTGGTGTAACCTTCTAGAAGAAGCCTGTACTTCAGGATCCATATTTAAAGGTTCATGGTGTCAGGCCATACATAGTATTCACTGCCCCACATTTTCATGAAAATATCTAGAAGCCTCGTTTGTCTCCTTTGCCGACTTATTTGTGTTCTTTGTGCTCTACAAAAATTAGTTTAACCAGACTCCTATTGATGGATATTTGGTGTTTGTGTTCTTGTTGCCTTTTAAACAACAATACAATCTGTATAGACATCTGAGCCCACACAACCACTCATTTCTGTGATGGACTAAGGAGTTTTCCTCCCTCCCACTCGGATACTCTCTCACAAGTACGCTGCTTCCATCGGGTGATTATGTTACTGGTGTCCACCCAGCAGTAAGAGTGCTAAGCACATGAGCAGTAGATTCAGGTCCAGGCTCTACCCTTTAATGCTACAAGACAATCGATACTAATTTCTACTTCGTAGGGTCTTACATATAGCTAAATATAGTGAGTCATAAACAATGCCTGGTGTTTTGTAAGTTCTCAACAAATGTCAATCTATATAGCTTCCATAACTAAGAAGAAACTCGCTCTCCATTCTCTTTAGGATGCATATTGGTTGAGCTCATCAGCTATTTTACACACTTAATTTCTATTTTCTCTCTACTTTCAACTGGATTCTTCTCTTTCTCATCTTCTGGTAAAATACAATGTAGAATCTGTCATTCCAGATTGGCAAACTGGCTCTTAATCTGCTTACATTTGCAATTTCTCTAAGAAAAGTTGGTAGTTGTAGTGATGGGTACTAACCTTTCATCCGTATTGTAGATTACTCTCACTGATTATATTATTGACTTTTCCATTGTTTTTTTCATTTATTATGCTAATATCTGATGAGTGCTTGTCAGTTACATATAGTAAACCATAGTTCTCAAATATCTGGATAATAAGCTGGGCGTTGGTGGCGCACACCTTTAATCCCAGCACTCGGGAGGCAGAGGCAGGCGGATCTCTGTGAGTTCGAGGCCAGCCTGGTCTACAAAGTGAGTTCCAGGACAGCCTCCAAAACAATAAAGAGAAACCCTGTCTTGAAAAGCCAAAAAAAAAATATCTGGATAATAAAGCAGCAAACAGCTTACCATATACTAAGGAAGAGAGAACCCAACAGCAGTTAAGAGTAAAAAGGTTTTATAGCCCAAACAACTTGTCTGCAAAGACAACTCACTAGTGGAAAGATGCTATTGAGCTGGATCTTGAATGACAGCTGTTTCTGAGCTATCCTAGGGAAAGTAGAGTGTTCAGAAGCAAAGAAAATGCTTTACAAATGCTGGAGGCCATGGTAGAACTGTAAGGAGTTTACCAAGGTAGGAAGAGAATGGGAGTGGATGGTTAAAAGAGAAACAAGGTTGTAGTAAATAAACCAGCTCTCAAAGCCAGTTCTTCAATATCTTTAATTAATTGCTGTGGAGACACTAACTCCAAAGACAGTATAAACTTGGTTGCTCTCAGTGACACCTGAGTTCTACCTGCCCTGTAACAACAAGCCAATTCCATGAGTAAAATCTTATTTTTCTCCTTTGTTGATGGTTGCCATTGCCCCATATGTCACTCAGAACTCAATTCCAAAGTGCAGAGCACCTTGGTTTTATAGATAGATAGATAGATAGATAGATAGATAGATAGATAGATAGATAGATAGATAGATAGATAGATAGATGATAGATAGATAGATAGATAGATAGATAGATAGATACGGCTTCTATGAAACAACATTAAAGCAAAGAAATTCAAATAGAAAGTCATTCTGAGTTCTGACTTAATATCAAAGTTCCCATGCAGAAGTTCCCATACCCACTTACCCCAGGAAATGTTATAAACAAATGGCTATTCTTTATTTTATTTGGTTTTTTAATTCGTTTATGTGTGAGTTAGTGCCTTGTGTTTGTGGGTACAGAGGTCAAAAGCTAGTACAAGATTCCTTGGAACTGGAGTTACAGGCAGCTGTGAGCTGCTTAACATGGGTACTAAGGTCCTCTGGAACAACAGCAAGTATTGTTAACTGCTGAGCCATCTCTCCAGCCCATTTTATTTTTAAATGAACAAATGATAAGCAGTCCTGTATGGTAAGCTGCTAAAGAAAGAGACATAATGTACAATATCACACATATAATAAAATAAATTATCTTCTACAAATTCAAGCCTCGCCTATGAAAATAAATATTTCTCTGTCAGAGAAGCCCAAGAGTCTCCACGCATGCTTGGAGATGGGGTTAAGCTTTAGCAGCTGACCTACTGCTCTGTTCCTCTTTGGCAAGGAGGGTTTTTGTACAGACAGACAATGGAGTACTACCACTGTGGTGGACGTTCGGAGCTGGCACCAGGGTGGAAATCAAACGTAAGTAGACTCCAAACTCACTTTCCTCCGTTGTCTGTGTCTCATAGCCTCTTTGTCTAAATGTGATGTACAAAATCTGAGTCTGAAACCAGATCCTGGCATTCTCCAGGGCAAAGATAAATAATAGCTCTGTAAGCAAAGTTGGGAATAGATTGTACATTGTCTCTGAAGTGCAAATGTGATCATTAAGACACTGATAGTTCTAGACAAGGCCTTGCTCAGTAGTCAGAAGGTGATACTCAGTTTTGTATGGCGGGGAAGTGAAGGGAAACCAGTGTGTATACACGTTTGGAGATGGGACCAAGCTGGAAATCAAACGTAAGTGTTCTTCTCAACTGATTCCTTACTGTGTCTAATCAGGTTGCTTTGTCCTTTTTTGTGTGTTTTCCTTAATGAGATTTCAGGGATGTGACAAACTTCATTCTCAGATTAGATGTTAAGGAGGGAAAACTGTTCCACAGGAGGCTGGCTAGTGGTTTGTTTTTAGGCTTTCTAAACCAGCATAACTAAATTGGGGAAAGAGGGGTACTTGCCTATCAAGGGAGGTTTTTGTAAAGGGAGAAGTTAAAGTAGATCACTGTGAAACACGTTTGGTGAAGGAACCAGACTGGAAATAAAACGTAAGTACATTTTTACTCAACTGTTTGTGAAGTTTGAGTCCCACTGTGTCTTTTGTGTGAGCCTGTGATGTTTTGGATTAAATGAACTGTTCCTGGTGACCCAAAATTTAAATAGAAGTGCACCAGAAAATAGCCAGTATAAAAGCTGGACAGACAGACTGACCTCATGTCAGATTTGTGAGAGGAATGGGAAAGAAATAGTTTTTCTCTGAGCTTGGCAAATTTGATTGGGCTGACTTCAGAGGCAGATTTTGGCAGAGGGGATCATTGGCATGAGTCACTGTGATTCACTTTCGGCAGAGGGACCAAATTGGAAATCAAACGTAAGTAGATTTTGGCTCAGTTATTTGTGACGTTTTGGTTCTGTTGTATTATTTATGTTAGTCTGTGATATTTTGGCTAAATGAGTCATTCCAGGTGATCCATATACATCAATAGAAGAGTCCCAGAAAATAGCCAGAGTGACGGCTAAGCAAAGAAACTCAAGTTAGGCTGGTGAGAATAGGTTTGTGAGGGGCTGGAGAAGAAAGAGCTGGGTTTTTCCTCGGTATTTGGCCAGACTAGTTGGGTTGGCTTCAGAGGCAGGTTTTTGTTGAGGGGGACCTGTCAGAGTCTTCACTGTGGCTCACGTTCGGTCCTGGCACCAAGCTGGAGATAAAACGTAAGTGCATTCTTCTCATCTTTCTTTTATGTGTATGATTTTTCATGTTAGGAATTAAAGTCAGTTCCAAAAATTAGCTGAGTGGCAGAAAACCTGTTCATCTTGAGAAAGTAGAAAGGGCTCATCAGTTAACGTGGCATACAATGTCAGATTTTCTGTTTATCAAGCTATTGAGATTAGGGACAAAAAAGGAGACTTTAGTTGAGGAGAAAGTAGTTAATACTGTAATCACCATCAAGAGATTAGACTGGAGATTAAATATAAGTAGTTGCTGTCTATTGCCTTCTGATATCTGGGTCTAGAAGTGTTGACTTCTAGAAGTTTAAGTAGGGGAATTGGGAAGAAAAGGAATGAGGGCACTTAGGGAAGGACAAGAACTAGAGTTGGGTTGGGCTGTAAAAGTTGATGTGGAAGCAAGACTTTTTGTTGAGATCAGCAGAATGACTCCAAGGATGGAAACTGTAGGTGAAAAGAGGGGCTTGGAGCGCTGAGAACAGACATAAATTCACTTGTATTGAATTTCCTCAAATACGGTGTTGAGTTTTACATTACCTATGTTATAGCGCAGTTGAGTGAGGGGGCCTTAGGCTGCTTTCCCTCTTTTGTCTCACAATTTTTTTATAACTACAAAAATCAGCATAATGCCCTGAAATAAAATCGGTAATATGTTTAAAATTATGACTGCTTGGGATGTAGAAGAAGTGGCTTTCTGAATAGTCCAAAGAGACGTGATTTTTAGAGTCTAAAATGTGTCACAAAATGTCAAAATGAGAGACTATAGGAACAAGTTCTTGGCAGATAGCTCATTTTTTGTCTCATGTCTACATGAATGCAAATTATAATAGCAGAAAGAGTATTATATTTTTTAATGGCCACGGTTTTGTAAGATATATGGCCCTTTGTTTCCCCCAGTTATTTTTTCTACCGCCAGCAAGGGGCTGAAATGGTCTGCAGCCTCTTCCTTACGACGAAATGACTTCGCGGCCATGCCAACCATTCAGAGTGGCCGCTAAGAGCCACACAAACCCCGCGGTAGCGACCTTTGCTACTTGTGGATCATTGAGGCGCAGTGATAAGAATGGTGCCATTAATGGAAAGAGAATAGAGATGTGACAGACAGTACACTAGCATGGGAAAAAGGTGACTTATTGGAGATTTCAGAAATAAAATATATTTATCATTATATGCCCTTATTTTCCCATTAGGGAGTTATAAAAGGCAGAGAACTGTTTTTTACCCAGTGTTATATTAGTGTATATGATACTTTGGAAGTAAAAGCAATACCAGGGAAACTGAATTAACACCACTTGTACACCATTCAAGTCATGGTAAATCTACTTTGAGTAAACTCTCATTAAATTTCATTAAATTATATGGCATATTAGCTGGTGAAAATAAGATAAATTTGTGACAGGTTTTAACTGGTTAGGTAAGCTATTTTTCTTTGTACAAAAGTATAACTAATAAAAATTTACGATAAACATATTTTCCAGTACTTTAATTCAGTGGTAGGAAAATGTTTAACCTGGTCATTTTAATTTTGTAATCTCTAGAATTGTTTACTAATTTTTGTGTGTGTGATTGACCCTTCCCCAGTCAACCACGACCATTTAAGGACCTTTTAAAATTCTTGAAATCATTTTAGAGTTATTCAAGTTATTTAACCACTTTTAATTACTTTAAAATGATGTCAACTCCTTTTAAAACTTCAAATTAAAAAAAATTTATTTGAAGGGGAGACAAGCTGCCCCTAATTCTGTTGTTTTTCTTGGCAAAGGGCTCTCGGTTTTCATTTTTACTATCACTCTGTCACCTAAGGGTTGGCATCCCCACAGTGGGGGATTTCCGAGAAGCCATCTGGCAGCTTCTGAAGGTCAGAAGTGAAGTCAGCCAGTTCCTCTCAGGCAGATGGCCAAGATTACAGCTGGCCTCTTCTGGTGTGCCTAAAAATTGCCCCATGTGGTTACAGACCATCAGACCAGGACCCAGGTCTCACCTGGAGGCCTTGGCGAGAGCTGAGAAAGTTGCTGGACATACAATCCAAGCACAGACTATGGCTCAGTGACCTGTCTGTAGGGTGGGTCTCACTTGGCCACACCAAAGGAAGCCATAGAGAGGATGATATCAGAGAATTCTTGAAAGAGGCAGGAGAAAATGAAAACCAACTTTCTGTTCCTATCCTATGCGTTTGTGTGTTCAGACTCCCAAACACCAGGGATGTCAAATAAACTGGCTTGTTTTCTCTCTCTGAAGCATGGAACCATTGCAGCTGATGGGGAACACAGTTTCAGGGAAGACAGGTATAGAAGGAAGTCTGGGAATAGCTTCAAAGGGTCAGACACAATTTACTTTTCAAAGAAGTAGCCAGGAACTAGGGAATAACTCAAAACCAGCAAGACTGTACATGTTTACTTCCTAGCCTCATTCTATCCTGAAGGATCGGTGTGCTTTTCTGTGTGTCTGTCTACAATGTGACTGTCCACACACAATGCACCCAAAGAGAGACCTTTCCTGTTACTTCATGCATCCTCTGTGTTTCCTTCCTCAGGGTCTGATGCTAAGCCAACTGTCTCCATCTTCCCACCGTCCAGTGAGCAGTTACAGTCAGGAAGCGCCTCACTCGTGTGCTTCGTGAACAACTTCTACCCCAAAGACATCAATGTCAAGTGGAAAGTAGATGGCAGTGAAAAACGAGATGGCGTCCTGCAGAGCATCACTGATCAGGACAGCAAAGACAGCACCTACAGCCTGAGCAGCACCCTCACGTTGACCAAAGGAGATTATGACAGCCATAACTTGTATGCCTGTGAGGTCACTCATAAGACATCATCTACACCCATTGTCAAGAGCTTGAACAAGAATGAGTGTTAGAGCCAGAGGTCCTGAGGCACCGCCACGTGCTCCCTACGACCGTCCTCTGTCTTCCCCCCGTAAGGTCTTGGAGCTTTCTCCATAGACTACCTACCACTGTTGCAGTCCTCCAAATCCCCACCACCTCACCCCCTCCCTTTCCTTGGCTTTTATCATGCTAATATTTGGGGAAGATATTGAATAAAGTGAATCTTTGCACTTGAGATCTTTGTCTCCTTTCTTACTAAAAGGCCGTTAACAGTTGTGTTTCCAGTTACCTGGTTTCTCTTCTAAAGAAGTTAAATATTTAGTTTCCCTGAAATCCAATACACTTAAAAAATAAAATAAAATCTTCCATCTTCCCTATATGACTGTCCTCTACATGACAACCTTCTCTAAGCTTCACAAGTACTACTCACATCTCACCCCTCTGGGCCGTGGTAGGTTGGAGGAGACTTGCTTCCTAATTTTCCTCTCCTAAGTCCTCAAAGACCAGAAAGGGACATATTCTGTGATCTGATTCAGCCCACCCTGAAAACTTGACAAATCAATGGAGAGTATTCACCACAGGAAGTAGAGACAACCTAAATGAACAGGCCACAGGGAAAGTTTGGGCCCATCACAGGCCCTGAGCTTCATGAGCTCTTAGACCTTCGTTGTGTTTTTAACATGGATTGACTCCTGTCTATCATTGGATAATGTTGGGCACTGTCCACAGCCTACTCCAAGACTCACTATACTGTGAGATTAAATACATTCATCAAAATTATGAAAAGGTTCCATAAAGCTGGGAGGTGACCATCGTTATTTTTGGCTGTATCACCTGTCTCTGTACACCAGAGACCTCAAGCAGCAACCAATGTTCAGAGACTCATTTATAAAAGCCTAAAACTAGAAACAACCAAAGTGTCCACCAACAGTTAAAATTTTGGTATGCTCATATGGAGCTCAATAAATGAAGAGCAACTAAAGCAGCAGCATAGTTTAATCTCATAAACGTGATGGCAAGCAAAAAAAAGAGACAGCTGGATATCTTCATCCACATACATCTAAAACTAGGTAAAAACAAAATTAAAAATTGAGAGGCACATTGATGGAGGTGGGATATGTTATAACACAGTAAGAAGGAAACTCTGGAGATTTGGGGATGTTCAGTTTCTCGGTGTAGGCTGTCACTTTGTGAAAATTCATGTTATGGTGTTGGGAATCTATGTTCTTTCTGTGTGTTTTATACTTCATAATAACTTCACATAAAGAAATGCCTACTGCCCAGGGCATAGATGAGAAAGCACAGAAGGAATGGATCAATCACAAGTCAAAGCCAGAAAGACAGAAATAGAGGATCCAGGATCAAATGTCCTCATTCCTAACTCTGCTGTCTTGTGCCCTCTATTAGTCTGCCTTCCAAAGCTCACACAACAAAATGTGAGTCAAACACATGATGCCTCCTTGGGGTCTCTTCCTCCTCCATGCATCAAAACAGGAGCATCCCTGTATAAAAAAATGGGATGAAGGAGACCTTCAGCAATGCGTCAAGGAATATAAATAACTTTTTCTGATATGAAGAGGCCATATATCAAAGGTTATATTTGGTAAGGAAGAGGATACATAACACTTTCACCCTCCCCCTCTTCCTGGAGGCCTGTGAGTTTAGTCCTTCATGGGCTCATACACTCAACACACATTTACTAAGCACCTTCTCAGCCTACACTCTGAAGGAAGCAGAGAAATAATTGTAATAGTGTCGCTTCCCTCAGTTAATACACAGTTCAGTTTTCCTACTCCTTCCCTTTCTCACTCAGCACTAGAATGTGAGGTAAAGTACAGTCACCAAATTAGATGGGAAACAATTAGCCTTTCTACCTCTTCAGAGTCTTCATTAGTCTCCACTTTCTGAAACTTTAGAGATTTTTTAGGGGTTTTTATAATTTAATATGTCTTTTCAAATAACATGAACTTGTTCACCATTTCTGGGAACCAAATTCAACCATCAATAACACCTATAATCTGGCTATGAATGCAAAACATGCCTCTTCTGAGAGGCAAGATTCTGAACCAGACCCATCAGGACCAAAACAAGAGAAAATGAATGTTGTATGTTGAATCATGCTCCTCAAACATATGTATGTTCAAGGCTTAACTACAACAGTGACCACAATAAAAAGGAAGGTAAAGGATATCTATATAAGCTCTGAGATAATTCTGTGCTTAGTGGAAAAAAACATAGTCTCATGTCACATGTCATATTCTTTTCATTTAACATTCTTGAAATTAGACCATTAGAGAAAAGGAGGACAGATCACAGATTCCCAGGAGCTAAGGATACTAGGGACAAGAAAAGATATGACTATCATGTGGATGTCACAAAGAGGATCTTCATGGTCATGGAATCACTGTCTTGATTGCAGTGGTGTTAGATATGTGATAAAATAGTTTAGAGCTGTATACACATATTACACCAATGTCAAATGCTTAATTTTGCCATTATGCAATAAATATTTTCACAAAGTGGGTGTAGGTCACATCAAAGATGAGACCATACTTGTTAGGAATATAACTTAAAAACCATTTGTGTAACTCAAAGCCATTTTGTGTGACTTGAAATAATATGATGCCTGAACTTGACACTAGGTAGATCTTAAAGTAAGACCTATACCTCAGAAGCAAGCCCCTCACAGGTCATCAGGCAGTTCACATATTATCTAAGCCCAGGACAGGCCTTGCTATACTAACGTACTACCCTCAAGGTGGTGTTGATATACTAGTAAACCAGCCTCAAGCTGTTAGCCATGATAGCACAAAGCTACTGCCCAGTAAAATGATACAATAATTGGAATTTGGGGAATGGTCTCTAGGATCACTCTGTGGTGCTCCTAAGACATGGCTTCTCTAGCCTTTGTGTTAATAACCATCAGCAAGAGGACTGGAGATTCTGTGTGGCCCTGATTTCGGTGACTGTTGAATTTCCTGCACTGTCACTGGGCCCACATAGGCCCATCTGTCAGCACTAGCCATTGACCTACATTCTCGAGGACCTCCTGGACCTCCATCAGTGCCAATTTCCTAGCCTGCCACAGCTGAAAACCATCACCGTAGATGTGGGTTGAGCCTGAAAGCTTCCAAAGCATTCTCATCAAAGAAGATTCGCCAGTGGAATCCTGCAGCATCATTTCTGCCCAAACGACTATTCCCTGCCAGGTGAGATGTCTGCTTAACTTTTTTTATTAGCATGATACTATAAGGAATGTTTGTGTGGATAAACCAAGCATATTGGAAAGACAAATCTTGTGTGGACATCCTAATTGAGGAGAGCCCTACAGTCTATAGGCCAATGCTCTCTACAATACTGCATCCAAATGAGTCCTAAATCCAATGTTTGACTTCTTTATATAGAGAAGGAGATTAATGATGTGGAGACACCAGGGAGTGCACCATATCACCATGGAGACATACTGCAGTGATACGGCAGCATTTCAAGGAAGAGTAAGGACTGCCTGGAAAAGCCAAAGGCTGGGAAAGAGGTATGAAATGGCCTTTCCCTCAAAGTATCCTGAGGAAACCAATTCAACCAATACATTTTTGCTTAAGACATCTAACCTTCAGAATTGTAAGGGGGTAACTTCCTATTGTTTTAAGCACTAGTGTATGGCACCTTGTTCAGGTAGAGCCAGGAAACAGACAGCCAAAAGGATCACTTAGCTTCCAAGGACCTTCCTTCTAAATTTATGAGTTGCCCCACAGGTGTTCATCTGCCCAGAGAATGTTGTGTCCACTCACGGGCTTCTGTATCCCCTCAAATATGAAAGGTTCAAGTCAATATGAATTAAAGATCAAATACACAAGATATCCAGACTGCTTCTCTTGGTAAGTAACAGACAGGCCTTCTGCTCTAAAATATAAACTGTGGAATCAGCCTTCAATTGTGTCATGTACTGGCTGTGTGATTTGTTACCTTGCATGGGACTCAATTTCTTATGTGTTCGATGCATGTGATGATGGCAATCACTGGACAGGCAAGAAGTTGTGAAGTCTAAAAGGAGCAACAAACATGTAGAGTTAGACACACTGCCAGGCTGTCCAGTGAATGAGCACATTGTGCTTTCAGTGACGTGCAGGATGGACTATGTCTTCAGCACCAAGTCCTATGAGTCTCACAGTAGGTATAAGGGCCAGAAAGGTACCGCAGAGAAAGAAAAGAATGGGGGTAAATTAAAGATGGAAGGCAAGAAAAAAATGGGAGAAAACAAAACCATCCCCACACTCAGGAGACAGAGGTAAGCTGGTCTCTGTGAATTCCAAGCCAACTGGTCTATAATGAATTCCAGACCAGCCAAAGATACATAGTGAGTGGAAGGTTGGAGAAGAAGGAAGGAGGAGGAGATCTGCTATGGAAAACTAGGAAGGCCCTGCCATGGCAGTCCCCACCCATAGATAGGTCAGATAGATTCTTAGCATGACGTAGGGTGTGCCTGATACTGAGAGAGAAGAGGAAAGGCCACACCCGTGGTGCAGAGGGGAATGTCAACTGCTGGATAACTAGGTCTAGATATCTTAAGAGCAGTGTATAGATTATACTGAGGCAAAAACGCAATAAGAAAAATCAGAACTTCTCAATAGTGGACAATGGGATTTAGTGTCACAGATTGGGACAAGAGCTAACACACCACCTCCTCCTGTCATTCCTATCAAGTCACCCACATTCCTCCTCCCCAATCCTGGTTCCCTTAGGTGTGTGATCCCCTCACCCTTACACCTGTCAACAAGACAGAGAGCTGCACCAGGGGTCTAAAATTCCTTTCCAGCTCTAATGTCTGCATCTCAGAGTGGGATCCTTTGTGACTTCGAATGATCAGTAGCTTTCCATTTGGAACTTTTTGGTCTATAAATGAAAGAATTTTGGAGTGGGAAAGGGTGCATGAGCCCCCAGCATTAATGAGGAGCTGTGAACAGATGATGACTTCTGTGGGGGGGGGGTAGTTTGCTCTAATCATGTGGCTTCTGCTAGCATGTTCCAGTGAATGACCTCACATCCAGGAGTACACAGACAGCAGAAACTGAAGTCAATGGGTCATTTTCAAAATAAAAAAGGGCATGAAGTTGGCAGGGTTGGAAGACAGGGGTAGATTATGGGGAGTTAGTGAAGGAGTAGGGGTGAATGCAATTAAATGCAAGAAATTCTCAAAGAATTAGTTAAAACATTTCCTTTAAAAGAAAGAATTTCCAG